TATATATATTTTAAAGTCTCTTAAATTTAGGAATGGAACCCAAAGGCAAGCTCTCCCAGGTCCATTTCCTCTGACCCTGGACACTGGGAGCCTGTGTGACAGGACACTCCAGTCCCCCCATTGGGCAGAGCCTGGCCTCTGACTCAAGCCAGCTCTTCAGTCCTGGGAGCCCCGCACGCCCAGCTGGAGACAGGCCTAACAAGAGCTACGACGTCACCGAGGGGCCATAACTAGCAATGAAGGGTGGCAAAGAAGAGAATTCTGGGTACTGCAGCAACAGGGATGGGAGACAGGGAGAGCTTGGTGATGCCAAAAGGGCCCTAATGGAACCCTTCTTGCAGCTACTAAGTGGCAGCCCCCCACTTTGCAGTGAGGACAATGGAGTCTTCTTCCTACGTGCAAGTGCCACTTTGAAAGGAGGCAGCTCACAGACAGCTGACTGCAAGACCGTGCCCTCTGGCTTTGAGGCACTATTCCCCCTTTCCTCTCAAGACTGGGTGAAGGAAGGGGTTCTGGCAAGGGAAAGATTCTTGAGGCCCTTCCCCCACCCCAGCACCCCAAGTGTGCGGCCCACTCTCACATATTATATATCAGAGAAAAAAACTTGCCTAAAGCAAAATTTCTGAGGGACTCAAGTAACCCTTGAAGTTTACTGACCCCTCACCACAAAAATTCTTTTATAAAATCTTCCAGTGCGATCTTAAGGAATCTCTTCCCCTGCTACCTCCACCCCCTCCATCCCCACAACACTGGACTGCCCCTTGCCCCAGCTCAGGGCCCAGCAGCATCCAGTCTAATCCCGGGCCATCCACCGCCGCCATGGCTTCCCGTGGGCCGCCCCCTGCCGTGTGGGGGGCACGTGAAGGCGTGGAAGGAGGTGGGGAGGAGGGCGGGATCCAGGCCGCCTATTGGCTGGGCTGGGGGGCGGCCCAGAGGGCTGAAGTTTGCAGCGAGGAGCAGGCCACCGCCGGCCGTCCAGGGGCCGTTGTTGCTCTACAGGCCTTCGGAGGTGCGAAGGTTGGAGGACATGACGAGGAAGTTGGGCGGTGTGGCAGGTGTGTTGCTGGGCGCATACATCTTCCGGGGTAAGTGGCGACTGTTGGGAATGCTGGTCTCTTGGGAAAACGTGCTCAGGGTGGTCTCGAAGTGCTCGACGAGGAGCCGCTGCTCCTCCGCTTGGCGTGAGGCGAAGGCCCCTGTGGCGCCACCGGGAGATCCGGGGTTTGTTTGCTGCCTTCCGGCGAATGTTGTGGTCCTAAATGTAATACTGTATGCTTTATGTACATGAGATCACGCCATGCGTGTTTTTTCTGGTCTGACTTCTTGTAGGTAGCATCGTTATTTTGAGAATCGTCCGTGTTTGTCTTTAAATTTTTATTTTATTTTTTCTCTTCTCTTTTTAAAGATTGAATATATTTTAGTATCTCTTTATCTTCTTTAATTTTACGCTACTTTATAAAGTAATATGAGGTTCTTACCACAATATATATCCGCTTTCCCCTTCCACGGTTTGTACTTTTGTTGTATTATGTTTACTTTTATAAACAATATGTCTGGTACAGTGCACTATTTTCCTTAAAGAATAGATATTATATGATATTATCTAATAAAAAGATGTTAGAATATTTTATATTTTCCTAGATATTCATTCTAGTTCTCTTTTTTACTTCCTGTGGATCTACCATCCTGTGATATTATTTTCCTTAAACCTTCTTTTAGAGCTTTCTTTAGCAATGTTCGTGTTCTGAAAATATCCTTGTTCTGTCTTCATTCTTAACGATTATTTTTGCTGTATATAGAATTCCAGTTTGATTTTCAAGATATTATTACATTGTCTCTGCCTCCTTGTTTTGGTAAAATGATAATCCAGCGTTGTACTGCTCTCTCTCCCTGTATGTAATGTATCTTTTTTGCCTCTAGTTGCTTTAAAAATTTACTTGTCTTGCATTTTCAGCAGTTGATTATGTGATGCTTATCATTTTCTTTTTATTTATCTTGCATTGATGCCTGAGAATTTTGGATTGTTAGTGATGTCTTTCATCCATCAGGATTTGAAGTATTTTTTCTAACTCATTTTCTCTCTCCTCTCTGGATTCCAAGTGCATGTAGATCACTTTATTTTTTATTTGTGTGTGTGTGTGTGTGTGTGTGTGTGTGTGTTTGTGTGTGTTTCCTGAGACAGGGTCTTGCTGTGTAGTTCAGACTGGCTTTGAACTCACTGTGTAAGATAGGGTGGCCTCAAAATCACAGTGATCCTCCTGCCTCAGTCTCCTGAGTGCTGGGATCACACATATGTGCCAATATACCTGGCTCTCATGAATTTACTTTAATACAATATATTTCTACCTGTCTTGTATATGTTTTTTTTTATTTTAAACATTTTTTCTCTTTTTGTGTTTTAGTTTAAATTCTTTCCATTGATCCATATTCAACTTTACTGATCCTTTCCTCCACCCTGTCTAATCTGCTGTTAGCCTCAAATTTATGATCCTCCTGCCTCAGTGTCATGAGTAGCTGAAGCTACAGGAAGTGATAACACTCCTGGTGCCTTTGGAGGAGCTGCTTTGGACTTGATGCAGGCCCCACTTATTTCTAGGCTTTTTCTCAAAGCCTGTTTCCCCCAGCCTTTACCTGCTAACCCTGAATGCTCTTAATAAGACTAGCAGGAAGGATCTGAGCTAGCTAATGTGGTGTGTCTGTAACACCAGCACTCTGGGATGTCTGAGGCAGGAGGATCACAAGTTTAAAGTCAGTCTGGGCTATTTGGTGACTTAGAAAGATCCTGTCTTAAAATAAAAAATAAACAGTTGAGGGTTAACTGGCAGAAGATCTGAGATCATCCGTGCAAGCACTCTGGGCTGTTGAAAAGAAGGAACCATTCCGGGACAGTCTGAGCCTTCAGTCATTGATGTCAGATGTAGGAGAGCTTAAGAAACCCTTCTGTGGTTAAAACAAAGGAGCAAAGAAATTTCTTGAGATCCAGAAAGCTGAGAACAAGACTGTAAAGAGAAATTACCAGTTACTCAGGTGGTAAATGGACTATAAATTTAAAAAATCTCCTGTGGTTCAGAAAGCCGGAAGCATAAAGAGATTTTAAGAATTTTGTCCATGCTCAAATCTCATCAGTGGGTCACTCTGTTTAATTCATTTTGCCTTACTTTTCTGTCTGAAGCCTTCAGTGTTGTATGTGTGGAGGAACAGGGAGTCAGATTTATTAAGATATGGTTCAGTTAAAATTGGCCATTTTTATGTGTATAATTTGTACCCCCCTTTCAGTCATCTTCCATGATCCTCAGTTCTTGGCAACCGTTAATGTAATTAATTCCTGTCTTGATAATTTCAGCCTTCAAATAATATTATGTAAATGCAATAAGCAAATAGCTTTTTTCACTAAGGATTAATTTGGTTATCGTTGTGCTTCGGAGATTTATCTGTATTGTTGTATGCTTCTGTAGTTGTTACCTTTTTGTAACTGAGTAGTATTCTATTGTATGTATGCATATTCAGTCTGTTATAATGCTTATTTAGAAAGTACACATTTATTCCAGCATGATTGCTGTATAAGAGCATAACACAAAATTTTCCATTTGCTGTATCAACAAACCATATAAGAATTCTCAAAATGAGCGCGCTCGCACACACCCACACCCACACCCACACCCACACACACACACTCTCATGCACATACCTCAAACACCTACCAACTACTCGGGTTTACTGCGTATGTTGTAAGTTGCACCCATTACAACTAGAGTTACAAATTTCTGATTTCAGACAACCTTACATCTACTGCTTAATGATAATTTGCAAACTTCAACCCTTCTGACTTCTACTTCCATAGCAAATTTAGATCTTTTTAAAAGTGCCATACTTATTGTGTTATTTATGTTAGCTATTTAACATGTATAATAATGGTGCTTCTGCTTTTACTAGGACTCTAATTTTTTAAAGTGTCCCTGCTGAAGTACTTTTGAGCATTGTGCTCCAACCTCATTTCCCTCATCAGTCCTGTGGGTTTTGTTCTGTGATTTTTGCATAATGCGATGATTTTTAGAATTGCATGTTTCATGTTACAGCAGAACTGACATAATCAGAACTAACATGATAGACATTTGGGTTATACTTGAATGAAGTTTGGGACTTTTTTTTCCCCCCTACTGAGGATTGAACTCAGGACCTTGTACTTACAAGGTAGGCATGCTGTGCCCGTGAGTTAAATCCCCAACCCTGGGACTATTTTGAGTATAGTTAAGAAGAACATTTTTGTACAAGTCTTGTGGAAAAAAGACATGGAGAGAAAGCAATGGGAGTAAATATATTTTATTTCTTTAAAAAATTTATTAGCACATGTTTATAGTACATAAGGATTGCATTCACTATAGGGGGTTGGTACATGTACATAACACATTTCAATTCCAGGGGGAGTAAATTTAAAGGTCCTGCTGTGGGTGGAACGGTGCTCACGTCTGTGTTGGAAACTTGGCATGAAGTTCATTCTTCAGTTGCACCCCAGCACCCCGACTACCTGTTGGATCGCTCTTAGTGCCACCAAGACCTTCTCTGGATTGACACTTGTTTTCAGTTCTAATAGGAGTAAGGATGGGTGACAGGAAAGGGCACATTTTAATTTCATTTGTAAGCAAAATTACAGTAGTTGATACACTTAGGTGTGCAATATGTTGTGTTAGCTTTCCATCTCTAAGAAATAACCAACTCACAAAGAGAAAAGGATTATTTTGGATCACAACGTTGGAAGTTTCAGTCCATGATCGATTGGCTCCACTGCTTTCAGGTTTGTGGCAAGGCAGCATAGTATAGCAGTTTTTTAAAAGTTTAATTTTAGCAGTACACTGTTTTTTTGCAAGGTAAAAACTTTTTTTTTCCATTAAGTTTATTGGTACATTTAAAGCAAACAGTACAGTTACATTCATCATTGGGATCTTGCACCTTTACATGATGTATCTTGGTTCTTGTTTTTTCCCCATACCCTTGCCCTCCCTTTACCCCCTTCAACCTTCCCTATTTACAAAGACTTTGTTTCCATTTTTTTCACATTTTTTTCTTTTCCCCTCCCCTTCCCACTTCCCCTTTAGCCATTTTCTTCCTATTTCACACTCCCAGTTATACCATTTGAACCGTATTTACACTTTTAGTTTCTCACGCCACAGGAACTGTTTGGCATTTGCCCAAGTGTGTCCTATTTATTTCACTTAAGAGTATAGCCTCAATGTGCATCCATTTTGCTATAAGTGTTTCTAGTTTCTCATTCTTTTTTTTTTTTTTTTTTTTTTTTTTTTTGGTACTGGGGGAATCAAACTTGAGACCTTGCCCTTGTGAGGCAGACGGTAGAACCATGGAGCTAAATCCCCAGCCCCTAGCTTTTGTTTTTCTTCTCTTATTTCCCTCTGCTCCCTTCAGCCCCTTTCCCCCTCCTTATTTACAAAAGTTTTGTTTCCATTTTTTCTTTCTATTTTCTATTTTTTCTTTTCCTTTCCTTCTCTCCCATTATTCCCCTTTTTATTTGAACATTTTTTTTCTCATTTCCTAATAGCTGTTATACATTTTGGTCCTTATTTACCCTTTTGTTTTTCTTACACAGGAGAAACAATGCAGTATTTAAACATGTGTGTCTGATTTATTTCACTTAAAAATATGGTCTCAATGTGCATTCATTTACCTAAAATTGTCTCAAGTTTATCCTTTAAAGTTTATGGCAGAGGGTCGGGGATTTGGCTCAGTGGTTCCACCAGTTGTCTCGCAAGCGCAAAGTCTCAAGTTCAATACCCAGTACCAAAAAAAAAAAAAAAAAAGTTTATGCAGAGTAGTACTCCATTGTATATAAATGCCACTTCTTTAATCCATCCATTGGTGGATGTGGCCATCCAGGCTGTTTCCAAGATTTAGCTATTACAAATTGTGCTGCTATAAATATGGGTGTGATACGACAGCAAAGCAGTTATAGTGTGGCAAAGAGAAGCTGTCCACCTATGACTAGAAAGTGTAAAAAAGAAGAAGAAATGTCCAGAGTCTCTCTGCTCCCTTCAAGGGCACAGTCCAGGGCATGTGAGAATCTCCCACTAGATCTGACCACCCAAGGGTTACCACCACCTTTCACTTGTGCCCCTGGCTGGAAGACCATAGGCTTTTAGAGGACATTTACTCAAACCATGGCATCTGTCTGTGTTATTTATTAACTCGGCCTTGATATAGGAAGACTATTAACTCATATAATTTATGTATACCTTTTCTAAAGTTGGGGTATTAGATGTGAATTTATTATCTATGTTGTAAAGTTCTGGAGTAGTTTGATGAATAGTTATTCTCTCTTGCCTTCCAGCATTAAGTAGTCTCATTGTTCTCTATTCTCCTTAACTTTATTATTTAACAACCCATTGAATGAGATTTATCCAGCTCTAGAAGCTGTTGTCCTGTTTTTAGAAGACCATAACAGAACTCTCTGAAGATGACAGGGCTAGCCCTACACCTCTTCCCACATCCCATGCTCTGAGATTAGAGAGAGGAGAGGAGAGAATCATTATGCAGAGAAAACTGTATGTAGCTCTGCTGCTTTCGTAAAAGCAATTAAGGGCCAAGAAAATCGATCTGGTTGTCTGGAGCCAAAATGCCCTTGTTGTGGAATAGGGAATGTCCGTTTAAATCTGTCCCAGGTAGAGTGACAGCTTGAGAGGCAAAGATGATGGATAAAAGCATGGAACATTGGCCCAGGTTTAAATCCCAGTATTGCTCATTACACAGCCATAGGGAAGTTAAACTCTAGGAACTTCTGTTTCCTCATCTGCTAACACTAGCGTTGGGAGAGACTGGCCAGCCTTTTAATTTGGAAATGATGGAGAAGGGTGGCCCCTCCTTCCCTCTTTCTGACTTGACATCTCAGGGTCTGTCATTTTCACAGAATTAGTTGAGAACGCAATTGGAGATCGGTGGCTGGGTAGAGAAATTTTTGTCAGACTGGCTTGTCAAGGAAAATTAGATTTTCTTTGAAGTATGGGATGTGCTGAACCTGAGCCACCTTGCCATTGCCCTGTCCCAAAGAATGGTTCTTGCCTGGAGTACATAGTCTCTCTCTTAATCAGGGAACTATGCATTCCTGCTAAATGTTTCATGTGGAACATGGGCATGAGAGATGCTTTCCCAGTGATTAGTTAAGAATGTGGGACTTGGAGCTGGGCATGGTGGTACACGTCTGTAATCCCAGGAGGCTGAGGCAGGAGGATTGCTGTGAGTTCGAGACCAGCCTGGGCTACATAGTGAATTCCAGGGAAGTCTCAGCTACAGAGTGGGAGCCTGTCTCAAAAAAACAAAACAAAACAAAACAAAACAAAAAAGAGTGTGGGACTTGCTCTGGTGTGTAGGTTTGATCCTAATTTAGCAGCTGACTGATCTGGGGAAAGCTTTTTAAGGTTTTAACTGTTTCCTTATATGTCAAATGGGGATAATCAGAGTATATACAATGTATAGTGATACTTTGGAGACTAGGCAATGCACAGAAACCTTAGCTGTAGGTCATGGTTCCGAATAAGTCTTCAGAATTGTTAGTCTTTATTCTTGAGAAAGTTTAATTTGTGAAAATGCATACACATGTATGATAAAAATGCCTTGCTTTGGTGTTTATTCAGTTGATAGTTTTCCCATATAAATACACACACATTTGTATCTGTGTTTAATACTTTGCTTCTTTTTCATTCTGTGAGGATAGTGTCATTAGCGGTAAGCCTGCTGTGACCCGAATGTGCTCATTCCCTTTTTCTTGCTTTCCTTTCCTACTTGGAGGCCCATAAATTCCCCCTCACCCTTCCAGTCAATGAACATGATTTCTTAGTAAAAGAAAAAAGAATAGTCAGAAGCCCAAGGTTTATTTCAGAATATAAAATAATTTTCATTGTTCTGATGTTGGTTTGAGCAGAGTAAAGGGCTCCTAAAAACTCAGTAAGCATCCGTTGATAGATTTGGTCAAATGAATACTCAGAGAGAGGAGCACAGTCTTTCATTATAACTATCCGTCAGTCACTGTATGAATGACTGGGGAGGGGACTAAGAATAAGAGGGGATCATTTGACGTCTCAGAGGAAACATCAGGTGAGTAACATGGTTTAAAATTTAAGTGGCTTAACTAAATTAAAGTTGAGAAAGGTTTCAGAGTGTGGTTAGTGGAGGGAGGAGGACTCACAGCAGAGATAACTCATGGGGCTGCAGGATCATTCCCCTGGCTCTCCATCCTCCAGCACCTCTCCCTGGTTCTTGGACCATTCTAGAATTCGCGTCCAGGTCCTTGATGTATTTCTGGACCCAGGCATTGCTGGGATCAGCACAGATATACAGGCCTTTTTTGGTGAAAAAGCTATGAAGGGGCAGAAGTATACAGACAGTATACAGTGAGGGCATCTTTACCACTTGTGACCCCTTCTATTTCAGCCCTAAAAGCAGCTCAAGAGGAATCCATTTTGTCAAGTCAGCCTCACCCTAGGTCTCTGAGGCCTTCCCTGGGTGATTTATGGAGATCCCCACTTCCTGTCTGCTGTCTCATTCTCCCCTCTCTTCCCTCTACTTCTTGGAAGCTCTTCCCTGGCTCCCTGCAGGCCCCAGCCAATGTCAAGAAATAGCCCTGCAGCCTCCTTCTGTGTCCTGTATGCACAACAAGGTTGCAGAGTGATTCTTATTCATTAGCTGATGGTGGGGCTTTCACTACTGCCAGCCTCCTTCTAGGATCTCAATTCTTATTCACTAACTGATGCCATGTGAACTTCCACTTAGACTCCCCTAGGATCCCCTCCCCCCAAACCTGTGTCCCCCTAGGGGTAAGAAAAATAACTGGTACTTACAGGATACCACTTGTGTGGCACTGCTGCCGGTCTTATAATGGGCTACCACAAGATTGCGGGTTCCAACGGGAGATGAAGGAGAGGCAGCAGTCAGGGGCGGTGTGACTCTTACCTGAGTGAGGGAGCAGGGACAACAGGAGTTGCTCAAAACAGGCAAGCTGGAGAGGGGCAGGGAAAGGTGGGGACACAGCATAGCTCAGAGTTGAGGTGTAGGGGAAGACAATTAGAAATAATTTAGCTTTTTGTTTCTTATTAATTTCTTTAGTCTTGTCTTTGGTTTTTGTCTCTCTGTTTTGGCCCTTATCTTACTTTACGTGAAATGAAGCCCTCAAGATAATCTATTCCCTTTTCCTAACCCTCTTTCAGGGAAATTTCTTTTCCCAACCTCTGAAGTCATAGGATAGCTGAGAAAAGTAGGAAAGTCTCTTCTAAGTTTCCCAAGAGGTTGAGTTTTTAGGAACTATTGAGTCAATTCTAAAACTTAGCACCAATGGGACAAAAGTACACAGACCTAGATTCTACCTCCTGGCAATAGCCCAATAAATTGGACTTCCGTGTTCTCATCTAAAAATCAGGATAAAACCTCCCCAGCTCCCATCCTGTTGGCTCTCAAGATAGACCCCATTTGAATCCTCTCAATGGAACCAGCTGTGTCATGTTGAAACTCAGTGCAACACTCACTTGTTTCAGGAGGTGGCTTGCAGGCCGATGTGTTCTGACTTCCAGTCAGGGAGCAACAGTTAAAGGAAATGGGACAACAGACTTACCTTCTTCACAGGAGCAGTGCATTGTTGTGCAGAGAGGGGAGCAAGAGGGCAATCACGAGGGTCTTCATGATGCTGGACAGGCAGAGGAGGGTGGGCAGAGATGAGATGGGGCTTTGAGATCACTACTGCCAGCCTCCTTCTAGGATCTGAGCTATCTCCTTCCTTTTATATACAGCCCTAGACCGTGAGGACATAGAAATTGTAGGAGCATAAGTAAGAAAGTTTAACTGGAGTTGTGTCATGTAAGTTGCACAACCCAAGATTGCCTGTGGATACGCTGTTTCCCCTTCACATGATAGATATTTCTCTGAAGTCAGTGGGTCACAGCCTGCTTTGATAAAGCATTGTGCTTTGATGGGCTTTCCATTGTGTTTGTGTGTGTGTGTCTGTGTGTGTGTGTGTGTGTGTGTGTGTGTGTCCCTTTGTGTTGCCTAGGCTGACCTCAGGCTCCTGAGCTCAAGTGGTCCTCTGTCTTAGCAACCTAACTGAGACTATAGGCATGCACCAGGCATATAGCCAGACCTTGTCTCAAAAAACCACAACTTTTCTTAATTTTAATATAGTCAGATACATTGATTTATGTATAGGATTAGGAGTTTTGTAATCTAATGAGAAAACTTTATCCTAAGGTAATAAAAATATCTTTCTATGTTAACTTCTGGAAGCTTTATTGCTTTAGCATTGATACTTAGATTTATAATCCATCTAGCTGATTTTTATATTTGATGTGAAGGATTCAAAATTTTTTCTTGTACCAGGGATTAAACTCAGGGCCTTGTGCTTGCTAGGCAGGTGCGGCATCACTGAGCTAAATCCCCGGCCCAAGATTTTTTTTTTGGTCATATCAATATGCGATGGACCTACCTAGCATTTTTTATTAGAAAAACCATTGTATTAATCAGATTCCTTTGGTGAACTCTGGCTAATAAGACATTAAGAAACTGGCTCGTGTGATTATAAGGCTGACATCCTTCTGCGGCTCAGGCCATGTCCCTCTCCTTTAAAAGGAACTGTAAAGGATTGGAGTGGGGGCTGGAGAGGACCAGAGAGACTCAGTGCACGGTGTCGGTGCTCTGAAGTAAACATTCAGGGGTGTGTTGGGGCCCTCAAGGTTCAGCATGTACAAGAATAACTTGATCGCTTGCGTTTGGTGGCTAATTGTATGGAAATGTTTTGCCAGTGGGAGGAGGTGAGATGTTAGTGTGAAAGAAAAAAGTGCATGGAAAAAGCGATAGATTCAGACTTCCTCCCACAGAGCAGATCTGCAGTGCTTGGCTGCTGCTTCTTGGCCCACACGTGGTGACATACGTGGTAATGTCACATTGTCCTGGGTGGCCCAAGTCACACTTCAGCCACACTTTGGGTGGAGAAAAGATGGTGACATCACGTAGATTGGTATTTCTAAGAAAAAACATTAACCAGTGGTGGGAGGTCAAGAGTTAGTGTATGGGCTAGGGGCATAACAAGAATGGTGAGGTCAGGCTTTTAATCATGGTTTGATTCATCAGACAGTCGTGGTTCCTTACCACATTCCAATGCCAGGTTGTAGACACGGATATGTGTTAAGTGTAGGACTTCTTTATGGATCAGGGGCTCTGAGTGTCCCTATCTTTTGACCTGGGAAGCCCATGGCTAGGATATCCTATGAAAATAAGCTTTTTTATGGAAGAAGTTTTTTTTTGGTATAAAACATTTGATAAAGCTTTTTCATAATGATTAAAAATTGGAACCAGTCCAAATATGCATGATAACATTAATGTACAAAGCTGACAGTTGGGTAAATTAGGCAACTCTTAAAAGTAGTGGGATGACTTGAAAGAGTCTTTAATATTAAATACAAACAAGAAACGTACCAATTTCCATGTATATCTGGACCACAATAATGTGCCCCCTTCCCCTGACACACAGTAAGAAGTAAAAAACCAAATAAGCAAATAGAATCATGGTAAGCCTAGAAAAAATGCAATAAACATGAGCATGCATATTTCACTATAGTATGATATCTTTTTTTTTTTTTTTGGTACTGGGGATCGAACTCAGGACCTTGCAAGGCAGGCGGTGGAACCACTGAGCTAAACCCCCAGCCCTATAATATATCTTTAATGATTTGGGGAAGATTGCCAGAAGAGGTTATAGCTGGGTCAAATAGAATTTCTGTTTTTAGTTTTTTTGTTTGTTTTGTTTTAGGAATCTCTACACTGATTTCCATAGTGGTTACACTAATTTATAGCTTCACAACTCATAACAGTTAAACCTTGAAATGAGCCTATAAGTCCACAACAAGTGAATGAATAAAGAAAATGTAGTAATGGAGAAGGAAAAATTGAGTCATTTGTAAGAAAATGGAGGTACCTCAAGACCAAAATGCTGAGTGAAATAAATTAGACACAGGTTAAATACCACACACTTTCTCTTTGGTCTTGAGAAATCCAAAGTATAAATAATTTAAGAGTAAAATAAAAGATAATTGATAGGATATAGAGATGTGGACTTTGTGGAGTTGGAAGGGGTTCTGGGAATAGAGGGAGATGAGAAGAGGAGGGAGAAGAGGAAGTAAAAATGATTAAGACGTCATGTATATATGTACTGTGTATCTCTAAGATTACTGCAGTTACTATATATTGCAAACATACACTAATAAAGAAAAGAAAGAAAGAAAGAAAGAAAAATGCACTTGAAATAAATAAATGGAAATGTTGAACGTGGTTAGGTCTGCTTTCCAGGGAAATTTACTCAGATAATATCTCAGAAATCATATGTGCCACAATGGGAAGGCAGGGATGTAGAGGAAAATTCACACTCTCTTAACTGTTTTTGTCCTGCTGCTCACCCAGCTTCCATATACTAAATCAGTTTCTAGTTTTTTTTTTTGGATTTTGCATTTTGCATATTTAAAAGATCAGCATTTACTACTTCTGGGCAATAATTTATAACTCACCTTATAAGTAATGTGAAAGTTTGAATTAGAACTTTAGCGACATTGCCTTTTCTGTATTTGAGATCTTCTCCTGTGCCTTTATGAAAATGTTGTGCCTGAGAAGCGGCGGCCCTGTTGTGATCTTGAGGTGACAGGCTCAAAGAAGAAAATCTAACAAAATAATGAGGATAGGGGAGATGCTTTAAGGAGGATGTTATTGAGCTGCTGGACAAACCCAGGAAATGTTCACCTTGACTTTACTTATTTGGTACCAAGAATCAAACTCAGGACCTTGTGCTTGCAAGGCAGGTGGTGAAACCACTGAGCTTAATCCTCGGCCCTCACCTTGACTTTAAATATAGTGTTGGGCATGATGGTCCATGCTTGTAATTGAAGCACTTGGGAGGCTGAGACAGGAGAATCACAAATTCAAGATCACCCTGGGCTGCAGAGCAAGGCCCTGTCACAAAAAAACAAAAAGGAAAAGAAAGTATTCTCGAGTTTTTGAGGAACGTAGACTTTCTTTTAAATTTTATTTACTTTCCTAATTTTTAAGGGCTGTTATTTCAAGCAGTAAATATACCATACTATATTTAATTATAAACTACCTTTTTTTTTTTAAACCAGGGATCAAACTCAGGACCTTGTGTGTTGAAGGCAGAGCCACTGAGCTATATCTCTGGCCCTATAAACCACCTTTTAATTGTTACAAATGAGCTGTGAGAGACACTGTTGTGCATACAACTGTCTTCATCTCTGTTTCATATTTGTAGGACAGATCCTTGGCAGAGCGCTTTTCTGGTCTAAGTCTTATTACATCAGCCCCCAGTTAACCCTGCTAACCCAGGGACTGGTCTGTTGCAGAGGCCTATGAACATCTGAGGAATGAACCAACAACTTCCAAGCCAGCCTCTTATTTGCCTCTCCTATAGCTGAAGCTTCCCTCATTGCTGTCTCCACCCAGGGTGTGGCCTTATCTTGGGTTGTGTTTCTATGATCCCGTGGCATTATCACCGGCACATCCATGCTGTTGGACTAGCTGGAGAAGTTAGCAAGGGCTCAGCTCTGGGAGAATACTTTGCTTCAGGTTTGCTGTGGTGAGAAGGCAGCAGCTAACTTAGTCTCAGGGTGACACCGGCATCTTACCTCCTTGCACCGTGGAAACCATTTACCCATCAAGTAAGCAGTGGACCCATTCTTGCAAATTGCCTGGAGCCCTGGTAGTGACCCAGAGCTCTCCCAGTTTATTTTTTGCACAGCACAACACCAACACCATGGTTAAAGCCCCCTCCTACCCCCACTGTCCTCAGACTTTCATTTTCTGATGTCCCGAGGCTGCCTATAAAGAGGTATCTTAGACCCCAGAAGGAGGAGGCAGCAGCTACACGTCCTCAAGTCTCAGCTTTATTGGCTGCTGCTTGAATTCACTCATTCTCTGCTGCCCAGTGACATGAAGGTCCCTGTGGCTGCCCTCACTGTCCTGATCCTCACTGAGTCCATTTTCTCCTGGACCTGCTCTGCTTCATGTGAGTCTGTCTTTTGCTTTTGGATCCTCTCGCTCTCTTGGCCTGGCTTGGACCACAGTGTGAAGTCTGTAGCTGAGATCTCCATACAGGGAGCTCCAGAAGGATTTTGAGATTACGTCCTAGAGAGTTTTCCTTCCTAAGGGGAAGACACAGCAATTCTGCTCAGTTCTGGGAGCTAGAGAGGGAGAGAGTCTTGTTTCATGGATGAAAACATGGAGGCCCACCTGGGATTTCATAAGAAGAATCTGGATCCAGTTGGCTCCCTGTCCTGTGGTGTAGCCTTGGTTGCCTTCCCAGCCATTTTCCCCCTGAACAATCCCTTCAGCTTTTCCTGTCTTGTCTGTTGTAGTGGGTGCTGATACCCCAACTGCTTGCTGCTGCTTCTTTATCTCCCGGAAGATCCCGCGTAAATTTGTGGTGGACTATTATGAGACGAGCAGCCAGTGCCCCAAGTCAGCTGTCATGTAAGGGCTGGTCCCCTGGCCGTACCTGCGGAGAGAGGGTGGCTGGGCTCGGGGGGAGACCCTTCAGGGTCCTCAGTTCCCTTAGGTCTGGGGGGTAGGAGTCCAGGGGAGACCCTGAGGTGTTCTCTAGCTGGACCTGGGGCCTGCAGGGAGTCCAGAAAGACCTTTCTGGGTGGTGGGAAGAGAAGGGAGGGAGAGCAGGAAGCTGGCTTTCTGAGGGAGACACTTGGGGGATCTGTGATCTTCAAGATTAGGGGGTCGATTTATGAACATGTGGATAGGCCCTGGGATGTCTGAGCAGAGAAAGATGCAGAGGCCTCAGGATCCCCTGATTGGAGGCCTCAGTGTTGCCTCCTTTCCCTTCCTCCACAGCTTCCAAACCAAAAGAGGTCGGGAGGTCTGTACCAACCCTAGAGACACCTGGGTCCAGGAATTCATCACCGACCTGGAGCTGAACTCCTGAGTGGCCTGGAGGCAGCAAGGAGGCCTCACATCTGTGGGCCGATTTGGGAGCAAAACACCTGAGTCAGGGTGGTGACCCTGCAGTTCTGGAGGCCATTTGTTCTGTGGGTCCCACCCTCACTCCCACTGCCCTCTGGGGTCCTCCTTAACATTCATTTTAGTTTTATGTATCTCATTTCATTTTTGTAATTTATTTCCATTTTTAATTGTGTTATGCAGTGAATGTTTCCTCTGAAATCTCATGATACCCTCATCACCATCTTTCCCCTTTCTTTCAACTCTTCTCAAATTGTATATATGAGTGTGACTAGGTATCTCCAGAAAAATTGTATCTTGTATCACCCAACAGATGCTTGTTGAATGATTTTGCCCAGCACTTCTAAAATATGAAAGGCCATTTATATAAATGGCAAACCAGCATTTATCTTGCATCAAGTCTGTTGATTTTTGTTTTCTAAACTAAGAGTTTACAGTTGACAGAAATACCGGAAGAAGGATAGGGGAATATGAAAAGAGGTGAGAACCACAAGAATGAGACAGAGTATTACTATAGTCATATCACATGTTTCCCTGGAGATGGTTTCCCAGAACATTGCAACTGACACCCATCATTTTACAACCAGATCACAATAGATGTGGTCAACACAATTTTCTACTTAAATAAATAACAAGAGGATGCAGTTTTATGCACATGAGTTGTTTTTCGTAAAGCTTTCCTAGGAATGATGGCTAACATTTGTAGAGGGCTTTATCACATACTGGGCTCTGTGTTAAGTGCTTGTTCATGTTAGCAAGAGTCTAGCAAACTCTGCCAGTAAACTAGCCAAGACTTGCAACTTGGAAGTCAGCTGAGAACCTTGGCCTAGAAAAGCAGAGTTTCTCACTCCAAACCAATGTTAGTATAAAGAGAAATGTGAAGGGAAGAGATTAAGCAGGACATAGAAGTTGTGACTAGAATCGGTCTGATCTCCTCAGATCCCTCCTATCTTGTTGATAAATAAGTATATTAGGGTTCTATAGAGAAACAAAACAGGTGCCTGTCTGTCTCTCTTTTCTCTCTTTGTGTCTCTGATATAGATATATAGATATGTACTGGCACACCTAGATACAGATACATAGAGAGATGTATATATTAGGTACTGGCTGACACACTTATGGAGGATTGCAGCAAGCTGGAGAACCAGAAAAGTCAGTGGTACAATTCAGTCCAAATTCTGACTCCAAAGGCTTGAGAACCAGAGTAGCTGACAGTGTAAGTCCCCATCTAAGCTCAAAGGCCTTAGAAAGGGAAACGGGAGATGATGGTCCAAGTCCCTGTCTAGGTTCAAAGGCCCACAGACCAGCAATGCCAATGTCCACTGGCAGAAGAAGACGAATGCCCCAATCAAATCAAGAGGATGAATTCACCCTTCCTCCTCCTCTTTGTTCTCCTTGGGCCCTCAATGGATTGGATGATGGCTACCAGTATTGGTGAGGGAAGATATTTACAAGTTGACACATGAATTAGATCATCACAGTGAAGACCTGTGTTCTTGGTGAAGGTGTAGGTGGGATGCATCAGAGGCAGGAAGCCAATTGCAGAGGCGCCATAAGTGCAGCATTGCTTCACCAGCAGAGGGCAACGTAGTGACAGACGTCAATACTGAGGGACCTTGGGTAGGGATTGAAAACAAGGACTCCCAGCTCTACACTGGAGGAAGACAGGTTCCAAACCCCATTACAGATGTGACTGTGTCTGACAGATTTTCTGCTCCAAATTAAAAATCTTGGGGAATTAACAAAGAATAACTATATCAGAAGCCTTCAAAAATCAGGAGTGACACTGTCTCTGAAAGGATGTCTTAAAAAAAAGCCTTCAGTTGTACACCAACAGTGGTTTGAACTTGATTTGCATTAACATTACCTGGGGAGTTTTTAAATTGCTATTGTCAGGTCTCACCTAAATCCAATTAAATTTGTAACCTTGCAGATGAGGCCTTGGTATTGCAGTTTACAAAACTCCATGAGTGAGTCTACTGTGGGTTCAAGGTTGAGGAAGTGCTGCTCTACACTTAAACTAATCCTTAGGTACCATTTTACACAAGAAATAGACACCTTTATAAGAAATATTCTCTCCAAGGAAGGCTGCTAGATACAACACAGGATGCCCAGTTAAATTTGTTTCAAATTAGTAACAATTGATAAGTATGTATCAAATATTACACAAAACATTTAAAAAATTATTATTATTTACTTGACAGTACTGGGGATTGAGCTCATGGCCTTAAATATGCTATGAAAGCACCTTACCAGTAAACTACATCCCAAGCATTTTTTATTTTATTTTGAGACAGGGTCTTGCTAAGTTTCCCAGACTAGTTTCAAACTTGTGGTCCTCCTGTCTCAGCCTCCTGCGTACATTACAGACATGTATCACACCATATCTGCCTTTCATTCTATATTTCTGTTTGCTAACTCTGGCCACTGGAGCCTCCAAGCCTCACCTCGGAGATAGATGTAAATAATATTCACCTCAAAAGCAGACCAGTGAACGACAGAGAATCTGACCACGTTAGCAATGGCTTGTGGTTTGAGCTGAGGGGAGAAGTGAAAGATGTTGGCCAAGAGTGGAATTTCACATGATTATGGTAATTTTCCTTTTCCCTTCGTAGAGATATTTTCTCTGCCATTTCACATTCAGGGAACCTCTCAGCTGAGTTTGCGTGGGAAGTGTTATATCATCTATTGACTCTGCTCCTTCTTTGTCAGGGGTCTAAACTTCATCATGTCATGACATGCATGGCTTTTATGGTCGAATTCCATTTAAATTCCCAAAGCTACACCCAGACATTTCCTGTAGCACTCTTCATGCTCCAGTGATGTTTCCCTAAGTACATTTATTTTATGGTCTACGTATATTGGCCCCTGTATAACAAAACGTCCCTTCTCTAACAAGTAAACTTCTACTTATGTTTTAATATTCTGCTCAAATTTTAATTCCACCCGGAATCTTATTTTCCCATATGGAGAAAATTATTTCCCTCGCTGTCTTTCTATTATACTCTTGGGCATTTCTCTACTGATTAATGATTATCTTTTATTTGTAGATGTTTAGTACATTACAAGATCTTTGATGGCAGAGGGTATATTTTATTTATCTATTTTCTAGGAACTTAGTGCAGTATTTTCAGGTACCTATGTATAGCAGAAATAGAATAAATGCTAGATAGGAGAAAAAAGAGGGTGAAGGGAGAAATAAAATGAGAAACAAAACAGCTTACAAGGGAGAAATAAGATCTGAGCATAGAAAATTTTTATAAATGAAGAATATGACAGTACTAAGCACAAATGATAGCTAAGGATGATTCATGACATACATAACTATTCCTCCACTAGGAATCACAAGTAGAGTTCCCTTGTTCATCTATTGCTTGATAACTAATAAAATATAACTAATAAAATATCTCATTTATTTGAAGATTATAAAAGGCAATTTAGTTTCAGCTTAAAAGTCAAAGTAAGAAGAACCTCCAAATATATTACTTTGCCAACTAATTTGATCTAATAACATTTTTTTTTAGCAAGCTATCAGGGCCCACAAATACACAGATTAGCATTGGATTCCTGTAAAATATTTCATAGAAGAAAGTGATGTCTAATGGTGTCCGTGAAAAATTTTAGGAGTCAGTCCATAACACGACAGGTAATATTCTGAAACAGAAAGTTAAAAATATGCTTTTTTTCCTAGGGTCACATTTAAACCAATTATAAAATGTTTTTGGAAATCAGTTTTCCCTGCTTTGATCTGAGTATCATTTGTTCTTTCTGAAACTCAGGTTGGAGCTTAAACCCCATTGTGAAGTATTAAGAGGGCATAAGTGTAATAAGACTATTGTGTTTAAAAGTGGGGCCTTTGGAAGTGATTAGATTACCTGCATAAGTTAATCAGCTTGAGGCTGTATAATCGAATACCGGTGATTTTAGAAGAAGGTGGAAAGAGACTAGAGGAGATACACATGCACACTCACTGTCTCTTGTGATGAAGTCTTGTGTTGCCTTAGGACTCTGCCAGCAAGAAGACATCACAAGATGCAGTCCCGGGACTTTGGACCAGAATGGTGAGCCCAAATAAACTTATTTTATTTATTATCTATCCAGTGTATGGTATTGTGTTATTATAAATAGAAAACAGACCACATTTCCTCAGATGATCTTAAGGTTTTTAACTTCAATCGCAGGTACAAAAGATTTGGATCAAATACTATTTAAAAAAAGAAAATCTCTGTACTACTCATTTGGGGAAATCTTTTAAGTAATCCAGAGGACAACTGAATTGAGAGTACCTGTGAATATTCTTGCCTGATATAGAAAATGAATAACCAAAAGAGAATATTTGGAAGATTCGTCAGTAGTCTAACAGAATCTGCTTAGCCTCTCAATGATGACTCTGAGAATGTTTGCTATCCATTTTTGTTCAAAGGAGTCAGACTACTACGGGTGTAACATTGATACTTAATCTCTCATACACTAAAATAATATTCGGTTAAAGTGCACTTTTATAAAATTCAATCATAATAAAGTTCTAAAGAACACATCTCATTTGTGATTCCGATTTTATAAATGTCTTTGTTTTCCAAAGAGTGAACCAAGCCAGAAAGCCAAGTCATCCTAGATTCCTCTGTTCCATTGCTTCTTTCTAATTATGTCTTCACTCACTATAGTCCATGCCTGTACATTTTTACTTTTACTCTGCTATATTTCTAAGTTGTCTTCTATATCTCTGTTTTTGCTTCTTGTGAACCTATTTTTCTTTTTTTGTATGTGACTTTAAGGTATCCTCACTATCTTAATGGCTCAAACACCACACTTTATTTCTATCTGCTTCTCGTGCTCCTCTTTCTAACTTTTCTAGCTTATTAAATGACAACTCTATTTTTTCAGTTTATCAGTTGAAATACTTTTTCTTGTGCTGTAGCAAATGCATGACTGCATCATATGGGCCAACTTTTAAAAATGTACCTATTTGCAACCTGTTCTCACTGTCTTCTCACTGATAGCCAACCCACCATTATCTGTTATCTAATTTGTTGAAATAGTCCTTTAACTCTTCTATTTTGATACTTGACTCACTGCAGTCTATTCTCCTAAAAGTATCTAGAAAATTGTCTTTCTAAAAACATAGCTCAGATCATACCGCTCTCTGGTTTCAATTTTCAATGGTTTTTCTGTGTCACTAAATCCTTGGCAAAGCCTATAAGTACCAGGGTACTCTTTCCCTGCTGCATTTCTGGACTATCCTCCTAATATTTCCCCCTAACTCTCTACATTTCAGCCTTTTTGGCTTCTTTGCAATTTTTTGAACATGCCAAGAATACTCCTGACTTAGAGTCTTTGCACTTAGTATCCCTCCAGCCTGGCACATTCTTCCCACAGATAAGCACTTGACTTGCCTTATCACATTCCTTTGGTTTGTACACAAGTATCCCATCATCAGAAACTCCTCTGTCGCCACCTTTCTAAAGATGAACTTGCTGTCTCTCTCACTTTATGTCCTTCACCATGTTTTAATTTTGTATATACAACTACCTGGGCTTTACTCTTTGCTTATTTAACTTTTTCCCTTAGAGTATGTTTTCCAAAACAGCAAGACATTCACCTGTGTTGTTCACTGTTGTATCTCCAGTTGATAATAAGGGCCAGGGATTTAGCTCAGTGGTTCCACCACCTGCTTCACAAAGGCAAGGACCCGAGCTCGATCCCTAGTACCAAAAAAAAATTATGAGGAATCATAAATTTTTTCTGTAAAATGAAGATCATTATAAATGAGAGAATCTGTAGTTTCTAAAATGGGTCTTGATACTTCAAGTGTACCTTAAATCTCTACTTTCTCTAAAACTAGAATTGGAACATGTGATTGAGAAACAAACTAAACTTTTCCATTGTTGTTATTTTTAGTGTGACAGCCATGGAAATGTCCAAATCTTCTCTTCCTTCAATGGCACGTTCTAAGGCAAGTCATTGGCTGGCCTTCTCCCGCGGTGCCTTTGGATTTGACAGCGTTCCCACCACCACAACTCTTCTCAGGCTGTTTTCACATCTGACTGGATGCATGGAGCTCCTATATTGGCCACGTCTGTATGATGTTGAACTGATACATTTTTTTTTTTTTTTTTGGTACTGGGGATTGAACCCGGGTCCTTGCGCTTGCAAGGCAGGCCACTGAACTGCTGAGCTAAATCCCCGGCATATTCATGTTACTGCTTATACAACCATCCTTAACTTTTCTAATACATTATTTTGTCTTATTTTCCTATTAATTTCAATAGTGATATATACATATTTTGTCTCATCCATCCTCATCCTTCCAATATCTTATTTTATTGTGTCAACATTTGTATTGATTAGCTTTCCTGTTGTTAGATACCTTACACCTGCAATTTAAAGGAGGAAATGGTTTCTTTGGCTCGTGTTTCAGCCTATGGTCAGCTAGTTCCAAGGCAGAAACATAATAGCAGAAGAAGCTCATGGTGGAGCAACGTTGCTCACTTCATGCAGCCAGAAAGCAGAACAGAGTGGAAGAGAGCTAGGGAGAGAATAGTCTCCAAAAGCATGTCCCCAGGGACCCATCTCAACCAACTGGGCCCAGCCTCCTCAAAAGCACATTCAGCTATGGACACCAGTAGTCTACTTACTGATGAGGATGCCCATGATCCAGCTGCCTTCTCAGGAGTCTCCTAATATAGCCAGGTTGACAATGAAGAGGAACTGGAAAAATATTTAGTAGTTAATTGTGATTGTATAAGCATTACTCACAGTTGAGCAAAACTTTGTGCCTTGATTGAATTACCTACTTTTCAATTCACTTTTTAAATTGTCTGTGAAATGGACTCCCTGCTGCTGCTGTCTACATAGTTTTCTGTGGATCATGTACAAATTTTCTTCCAGAAAGATTAACCTTTGAAGACATTTAGACTTCTTACATTATGAATTAATTTCTTGTAATTCTGATGACAAAATTACAAGCCTGTCTTTCCATGAGGCCATCAGGACTGGTTAATAAAAACACCATTATAATAACTCTCCATGATTGTCATCGTGGCCTTCTCTTCTGGTGTGGAATTGTTGTATTGCGTCATTTACTTGTTTAGGCTGACCATATTATTTGGTAACTCCCTGAAAGACAATGCAGAGAACATACATATATACATATATATACATATATATGTGTGTATATATACATATATAAAATCTTTATGATCTCACATTACTGAACAAGTGCTTTTGGTCTTTTATTTCATTAGCAGTAAGACAAGTATAACATTCAAAACTGGAAATAACTTTTTTCTTACATTTTGAAGGTATTTTTCATTATCTTATAGAATCCATGTAGATTGTTGAAGGTGCTTTGAGTCATGCAAAGTTCCCTTTTTATTTTTGCCCAAAACCTGTTTTGACTTTCTTCCTAGATGCCTTTGAAATACTTTTCACACTCATTGTTATGGAATTTCTTAATTATTTGTACTGAGGCAGATCCATTTTTATCAAATCTGTTGGGCATCTGGTAGGCCTTCTTTGGTCTAGAAAGTCAGAATTTTCACATCTAGAAAATTTTCCATTAAAGATACTCAGACAGACTGAAAGGAAAAGGATGGAAAACAGTTCTCCATGTGACAGGAACCCAGAAAAATGTAGGGGTAGCTATCTTATTTGCAGACAAAGTAAAGTTTAAACCAAACTAATTAAAAGAGACAAAGAATGCCACTACATCCTTGGAAAGGGAACAATCCAAGAGGAAGAGATGGCAATCATAAATATATATGTGCCAAATACTGATGCCCCCAACTATACAAAACAAATATTAAGGGTCATGAAGCACCAAGTTAGCACTAATACAATTGTAGTTGGGGACCTCAGTACCCTATTGTCACAGATAGATTATCTAGACTAAAAATCAACAACAAAATACTAGAACTGAACTAAAACTGAACCACGCTTTTGAAGAAATGGAGTTGAATGCCAGTAAAACATATAGGAATCTATGGGATACAATGAAAGTAGTTTTATGTGGGAAATTCATAGCAGTGAATATCCACACAAGGAAAACAGCAAGCACAAATAAAAAACCTAATGGTGAATCTTAAGCTCCTAGATAAAGAAGAGCAAGAGAAACCCAGAAATCCTACAAGGGAGGAAATTATAAGGATCAGAGCAGAAATCAATACCATAGAGACTAAGAGAATGATACAAAAAATCAATGAATTGAAGAGTTGATTTTTTCAAAAGAATAAAATTGATAAACCCTTAGCTAACCTTATAAAAACAAAAAGAAAAAAAGGCTCAAATTCATGCAATTAGGAATGAAAATGGTGAAATCAAGACAGATCCACCAGAAATCCAGAGGATCATCAACACTTACTTTGAGAACCTGTACTGTAAGCAAGTGGAGAACACAGAAGAAATGGACAGAGTTCTATATACATATGAATTACCAAAGTTGAACAAAGAAGATATAAAAATTCTAAACACCCCACTTACCTTCAGTGAAATTGAAAATGTAATTAAAAATTGACCAACAAAGAAAAGCCCAGGTCCTGATGGCTTCACTGCTAAATTCTACAAGACATTTAGAGAAGAACTATTGCCACTACTCTTTCAACTCTTTAAACTTGAAATTGAAAGAGAAGCAATACTTCCAAATTGATTCCTGGAAGCAAGTATTACTTTGATTCTAAAACTAGGGAAAGACAGGCCAGTCTCCCTCATGAACAAAGATGCCAAAGTCCTCAACAAGATATTGGCAAACAGAATACAGAGGGTTATCAAGAAGACCTTGACAAAGTCACATTTATCCCAGGTATTCAAGGATGGATTCATACATGTGAATCAATAAATGTAATGCACTCTGTTAACAGAATCAAGGACAAAAATCATAGATCCTCTCAATAGATGCAGAAAAAACATGAACAAAATTCTACACCCATTCATGATAACCCTACAGAAAATTGGAATAGATGGTCTTTATCTCAACTTGATAAAGGCTATCTATGAAAAGCCAACTGCCAATATCATACGAAATGGTCAAAAGCTGAAAACCTTCATGCTAAAATCAGGAACAAGACAAGGATATCCACTATCACCACTCATGTTCAATATAGTTTTGGAAACAATAGCCACAGCAATTAGATAAGAGAAAGAAATCAAAGCAATAAAGACAGGAAAGGAAGAAGTGGAAGTGTCATTATTTGCTGATGATATGATGCTCTACATAGAAGACTCAAGTCTGCCAAAAGACTTCCAGATTTGATTGACTGATTCAGTAAAATCAATACAAGGTAAATCGATAAAAGCTGGATACAAGGTAAATACTAAAAAGTGAATAGCCTTCTTGTACAGAAATAACAGCCTCCCCGAGAGTCAAATTAGGGAAACAATCCCTTTTACAATAGCATCCCAAAAAATGAAATATCTGGGAATCAATCTAACAAAGGAGAAAAAAGACTTCTGCACTAAAAACTACAGCACTCTTAAAAAAGAAGATTGAAGAGGATATAAGAAAACTGGAAAACATTCCTTGTTCCTGAGTAGGAAGAATCAATATAGTGAAAATGGCGATACTCCCAAAACTGCTATATAGATGCAATGCAATCCCTATTGAAATCCCAACAGTATATTTCATAGAACTAGAGAATATAATCCAAAAATTCATTTGGAATCACAAGAGACCTAGAATAGCAAAAGCAATTCTAGGCAACAGAAACATGGCAGGGGTTATCACAATCCCCAATTTGGAACTATACTACAAAGCCACTGTGAGAAAAACAGCATGGTACTGGCAAAGAAACAGACCTGAGTATCAGTGGAACAGATTATATGATGCAGAAATATCTCCTGACATACTCAACTATCTCATCTTTGAGAAAGGAGCCAAATACCCTTTCTGGAGGAAAGGCAGCCTCTTTAATAAATGATGTTGGAAAACTGGATTTCAACTTGTCAAAGATTAAAACTAGTCCCATATCTTTCATCATGCACTAAACTAAAGTCCAAGTGGATTAAAGATCTAAATATTAAAACAGGAGCACTAAACTTGTTGGAAAGGTTAGTTAGGTAGAACTCTTCAAGATATTGGCATAGGAAAAGACTTTATGAGCAAATTCTCAGCATGGGAATGGGCACAAAGAATGAACAGTTGGGATGTCATCTTTTTAAAAAGCTGCACTGCCAGAGAAATCAAAAGCAGAGCTAAGAGACAGTCCACAATGTGGGAAAAATGTTTACCAGCTGTTCCTCAGACAAAGGTCTACTATCTAGAATATAGAAAGAACTAAAAAAAAAAAATCAGACTCCCCCCAAATATAAAGACCTAATTCAAAAGTGGACATCTGAAATGAGCAGACATTTTTCAAAGAAAAAAACACAGCAAATAATCATATGAAAGAATGTTCAACATCACTGGTCATTTGAGAGAAGCAGATGAAAATAACACCGAGATTCCAACTCAGCCCAGTAAGAATGGCTGCTATCAAGAAAGCAACCAATAACAATGTTGGTGGTATAGTGGTGAGCACAGCTGCTTTCCAAGAAATCAACCAATAACAAATGCTGGCGGGGTTGTTGGGAGATAGGAACCCTTCTTCATTGTTGGGGGGAGTGCAGACTGGTGCAGCCACTGTGGAAATCAATATGGAGATACCTCAAACAACTAGGATTAGAAGTCCCATTTGACCCAGCTATCCCTCTGCTGGGTATCTTCCTAAAAGAATTAAAAGAATTAAAAGAATCACCACAGCCATATATGCTTACCCATGTTTATAGTGGCACAGTTTGTTATAGCCAAAACTTGGAAACAGCCCAGTTGTGCATCAATTGGAGACCAGATAAAGAGGATTTGTTTTTTTTTGTATTGTTTTGTTTTGTTTTTTGAGACAGGGTCTCACTATGTAGTTGAGACTGACATGGAACTCACTGTGTAGCCCAGGCTGGTCTCGAATCAGTGATCCTCCTGCCTCAGCCTCCTGAGTGCTGGGATTATAGGTGTGTGCCACCATGCCTATTTGTTTTTTAATAAAATGAAATATTACTCAGCCATAAAGAACAAGAAACTAGAGAGATTTATAGCTAAATGGATGCACATTGAGGCCATACTCGTAAGTGAAATTAATAAGTTACAACGTGTAAATACCGAATAGTTCCTCTGGTGTGAAAAAGTACAAGTGTGAATAAGAATTAAAATGTATAATTGATATTGTATAATAGGAAGAAAAGTCTATAAAAGTAGAGGAAGTGGGGGCCAAAGTCTGGACTCAGTGGTTCCGCCACCTGCCTGGCACGTGCAAGGACCCAAGTTCGGTCCCTGGTTCCAAAAATAACAAAACAAAACAAATTAAAAAAAAATGGGCCAGGGATTTAGCTCAGTGGTTCCAGTGCCTGCCTCACAAGTGAAAGATCCTGAGTTCGATCCCCAGTAAGAAAAAAAAAAAAAGAGAGAGAGAGAGAGAGAGAAAGTGGGAGGGGTGGAGGAAAGGCAAAAAGGGAAAAGAAAAATATGTGAAAGGTAAAAACTCAGAAACAATGTGTTTGTAACAGGGAAGGGTGGAAAAGCTGAGGGGAAGTCTGGGAAATGGGGATAAATAAGTCATATATAGGTACAAGGTTTCAATGATGAATGTAACTGTTGTATACCATTTAAATGTGTACCAATAAACTTAATAAAGATAAAAAATTTTGAGGATTCTTTTCTTTTTCAACATTCTTTAACTTTTTGGTGCTGGATATTGAACCTAGTGCTTATACATATCAAACAGGTGCTCTGCCATTTAACAAGTGCTGTGTCAGTCCTTGACTATTCTCTTTTCCACTGAACACTTCTTGTATCATTAAAGTGGTAGCCTTATATATACAAGGGGCTATCAAAATGTATGCTTCATATTTAAAATTTTAAAAAGGGGCTACAATGAAATACACATTATTCTCCCTCAAAACAGTTCCTCTCACTTCAGACACACGTATCCCACCATTTTGGCCACTTTTACACTTTTATTTTTGTTAGTACATGTGTATAGTACATAATAATTACATTCACTGTGGGGAGTTGGGCCATGTACATAATGCATTTTGATTCTTTTTCATCCCTCTTCCTCTCCTTATTCCCCCCATGTCTTGATCTGTTTCTCATTTGCAAAAGATCTCTTTGTTTCCTATTTTCTGTCTCTTAGTTTGCTATTTAATTGATTTATATTTTGAGTTTCTTGTAGAAGAAAAATCCTGTGGTATTTAAACATCTGTGTCTGCTTTCTTTCACTCAACATTATGGTTTTCAGGTGCACCCGTTTTCCTACAAATTCCTCAAGGGTATCCTTTATAGGAGAGCAGTACTGTACTCTGTATAAATACTACATTTTATAAGCAGCTGCTTGGCAAGTGCAAGGTCCTGAGTTCGATCACTGGTACCTGAAAAAAAGGAAACAAACTCCAAAATCTACATTTTCTTTATCCATTCATGTGTTACTGGAGATATAGGTCCCTTCCAAGGTTAGCTATTATGAACTGTGTCGGTATAAACATGGGTATGTGTGTGTCACTGTAATACGAAGGCTTTATCTCTTTCAGGAAGATACTAAGAAGGGAAATAGCTGGGTCAAGTTTCTATTTTTCATTTTGAGAAATTTCCATACTGATTTTCATAGTGGTAGTACTAATTTACATTGTAACAATGTGGAACGGTTTTCCCCTGTAACCTTGCCAGCATTTGTTATTATTTGATTTCTTGATGATAGGCATTCTTTCTGGAGTCAAGAGGGATCTCGGTGTTGTTTTGATTTACATTTTTCTAATGGTCAGTGAAGTTGAATATTTTTCATGTATTTATTGGCCATTTGTACTTCTTTGAAGAAGAAATGTCATTTCAGATGCCTATTTTTTTATGGGGCTTTTATTTGGGGAAGGGTCTAATTTTTTGAGTTCTTGATCTATTCTAGATATTAGCCCTCTGTCTGAGGCACAGCTGGCAAAAAATTTTTTTTTCTTCAACGTCATCTCACTCTGTTGGATGTTTTCTTTGCAGTGCACAGCTTTTTAATTAGCTATGATCCCATTTGTTGGTTTTTACTGTTGTTTCTTGTGCAGTTGGAGTTCAGTTTATAAAATCGTTGACTATGCCTATTACTTCAAGAGTTTAACCTGTTTTATGAATATTCATCCATTTTCTCATTATCATTATAGTCTTTTGGTAAGTTTGACCCTCTAATATATTCCAATTTTATATCAAGATAATATCTAATTTTTATGTTTACTTTACTTTTTTACAGTATACAAAGCCAAGAGTTTCTTGATAAATGTGTTAATAATTCAGTGCCCACGGAAGTAAAGAACACCCAGAAACAGAGCCTATGGGGTAAAAGAGCCTGACGGAGGCTAAGCCATGTCTTGAGTCAAATGGTAAGCACTAAGGTTGAGAGTAAACACAAATTTTCCCTAAAAGAGGAGATATATTCTCTAAACAATGATAGGTAAAATAAAGCTGTTTTGGAGTTCAGTGTAGAGGACTGAGATGTTTCCAAAAGACAAATTAGGGGCTGTCACAGCGTCATGAAGAATGAGACTGTCAGCAGCGACAAGAAAAGAATTAGTGACAAAGGCCCAGAGTTGTGAAGCCAAGGTTTATGTCTCTCCCAGCCAGCAGGGAAGTAAAGAGGAGTGTCAAAGGTGACAGGTGTGTGTGTGTGTGTGTGTG